CGGGGAGGAGCCCCGCGGGGCTGGGACCTCGCTCCCCGGCAGCGAGGGGTTTTGGGGCGCCTTGTCGCCTTGCGCAAGAAACAGGCAACGTCTCCTGGGCGGGGGAGACGCTGTTTATCCCAGTAGCTCGGAGGTTTTTTTCCCCTCTCTTTTTGCGAGGGTGAGCTTGATTCTTTGGCTTGAGAAACTGGGATGATTTGGGTTACAGACGGTTTCCAGAATTTTGTTTTTAGTGATTGCTAACGGTTTTGGAGATCTGGACCTCTGTGAACTGAAGCCTGCTAATTAGAAGCCCGTTTTTCTTAATTGCTTTTTAATGGTGATTAAGGTTCTTTTGAATGTGGTCCACAGACTGTCATAAGCTATTTCCTGGTAATGGCTATTTTAAGATAGTGGATTTCATTAAAAATTTATTATTTGCTCTCTCCTTGTAATTTCCACTCCTGTCAAACTGTTGGGAGAAAACGCTGCTGTGTCAGCATCAAGTACTTAAGTCGGATTCGCTAATGTGGAACTGAACCGTTCAGCCGTGTAGTGCCATAGCTGAGCTTAGTGGCAGCTGAATTTGACAGATACTTCTTGGTTTCAGTTTTTAGAATACATACATGGAAATCTTGTTAGTCTTGTTAAATGTCTCTTCATTCATGTTGCTTTTAACTTTTCTGAGGGTAATTTGTTTATTAAAGTCCCATGTCTTGAAATGTTACGTTGGTTTTTTTTTTAAATTATAGTAAGCTATGTAAATGTTAGTTTTTTTGACATAACAGCGTTATACTGATTTTTTTTTTTTTAAACTGGATATCTGCCTCAAAACAGGTAAAAGCTATGTTCCTTCCTCCATACTTATCCTATGTTCAATGCCTAAAATAATCTTCTCAGACTGCTTCTGACTAATGGTTCTTTAGTTTTTGCAGTTGCAGATAAGAAAACTTGAATCCTGTGATTTAGTCATTTTTCTGTAATGAGGATTCAAGATCCAGCTAAGCTGTACCTGTGTCCTGCAGGGGAAGGAGGGCTATTATCAGAGTATCCCATTTTTATGGCGTGTTTGTGAGGACTTATTTTGTAGTATGCTACATCTTAAAAATGAAGATCTTTATTCTTAAGCTCAGGAGGATGTTAACTCTCTTCGTTACCTGTAGACAAGAGAGAGA